TATATATATATATATATATATATATATATATATATATATATATATATATATATATATATATATATATATATATATATATATATATATATATATATATATATATATATATATATATATATATATATATATATATATACATATACAATTACTAATGATCACATGACTCGAATTACCGTAGTGCAAAACCCGGGCCAAGCCAGAGTATAATAACCCCCCCCCCTCTCTCCCCCCAGGGTCCCCCGCACTGTCCGGTTCCCCTAAGCTGCGGCGCCCCCTCCCCCAGACACCTCCACCAGCACACTGAGGCCAGCACGACACCCGAGGTAGTGGGGGAAACTTTTGTTTGTTTTTTTTTTGTTTCTTTATAGGTTTGGAGAAAAAAAAAAGATTTGTGGTTTTGTGGATATTTGAGATACGTGTAATTGTTGTCTGTCTGTTTGTGTAGAGCTTCGTCTTTGGTATTCGGTTCGCTTGTATTTTAACACACACACACACACACACACAACACACACACACACACACACACACACACAACACACACACACACACACACACACACACACACACACACACACACACACACACACACACACACACACACACACACACACACACACACACACACACACACACACACACACACACACACACACACACACACACACACACACACAATCAGAAACAGATATCATACACAATCCTCTCAAAACACCTAAGAACAAACCAGAATGACACGAGCATAAACACTTCACTAGGTACACCTTCTGCAAATAGAAAGCCTCTGTTTTATTCTTTTCTTACAACGCATAGAAATAGCCTAATTCTCCCTCCATTCTCCTTCCTGACCGCCTTTCATGCGACCTCTCTCTCCTATACATTTATAGCATTGGGGAGTGTGACTACTTGCAGGAGTCCGGCTACGGCCCGACGGTACAGCGAGGTGGCGCCTCCGGGAGGACCATACTAGCGACGCCGAGTGTGACCTGCGCTGGTGAGGATGACCCTCGTTTGACCCTCCCGAGGACGCGCACCCGCTCGAGTCCTTCGGCCGAGGACGACTCTGAGCAGGGGTCTTCTGCAGTTTCTTCCGGCGCCTCCTTCTGCGGGATGAGGAGCTCCCTGGGCGGTTGTCGAGGGTCGTCTTGCTTACATGTTGGCCTTTTGGTTTATACGGAACGGGAATTTATGTATATACATAATATTTACATACATACATATATATACATACATACATACATGTGGATATATATATATAATATATATATATATATATATATATATATATATATATATATATATATACATAATATATATATAATATGTATGTATATATGTATCTGCATGCATGTAAATATATATATGATATAATATATATATATATATATATATATATATATATATATATATATATATATATATATATATATATATATATATATATATATATATATATATATATATATATATATATAATATATATATTTATATTTATATACTGTATATATGTGTATATATAGTTCCTTTGAATAAAGCAATTTCCGAACAATGCCTCTCGAGTGGGTATACATAGGCGTGTGTATGTGTAAAATACGAAATCCTTTCAACAGTGAAAAGAACACTCACTGCAACGTTGGACTAAATAGATAATGAAACATAATTCTTTAAAATTGCATGAGCAATTGTAATTAACCTTTTTAACGCGTTTAAAGAATGTTGTCAGGAATAATATGAATAAATTTAGATTTATGAATCTATGAAGGGTCTACAGATGCTGTAGTCTAATGTATAATGTGTATATATATTAGTCAACAGGTAATAATTCAACATGTGGTGATATATCTCGAATTTGTTATTTCTTGTTTGTATGAATAACGGACACATTATATCTGCATGAACAATGTGGATTTCAGTTTCCCGGTGATGTTGTGCTTGAAAAATGTGATGACATTGTCTGATTTCTGTGAACGTTACAAAGGTGTTTTATATATCGTCTTTCGTGAATACTTTTATAATGAGGAGTGGTTGTGTAAGCACTTATGTACAATACTTTTTTGGAAATGAAATTGGCTCGGCGGTTGAAATGAAGTGGAAAGCGGATAAGTAACATGATACACACACACACACACATGACACACACACACACACACACACACACACACACACACACACACACACACACACACCACAACACATACACACACACCACCACACACACCACACATATAAAACACTCATAACAAACACCACACACATAACACACTCATACATACAAAACACACACATAAACACTACATACACATACAAAAACACTCACACATACACAAACACATAAACACACACATTAAACATAAAAATTAAAGAAATACGGTGTTAAAGAAAGATTAAATAGACGAAAAATAATAATCGACTATTTCAAATAATAAATCATACAGCTTAATCAAGATTTTTTAAAAATTCTTTTGGGTATATGAAGAGTCGTTCGAAAAATATAAGAAAAGACTAAAAAATATCAATTCCAGTCTAGAAGTAAGTAACAGTCGAAGTGTCCAGTCAAGTGCAGACTCTCTTTGTCCCTTTTATGTTTGAGCTTTGACATGTAAAAAGGCATTCTGGAAAGATACATATATACATATAATGGATATTCATAAATCTTTTAGTAGGCAGAAAACCCCCCTCTGCCTTGTGTTAGGCCTACAGAATAAGGAAACAACCTTGAAACTGGTCCTATATAAGTGTTTCTTAAGGAATTCCATTGATCCTAACCCCCCCCCCCCCCTCTCTACGTCCCTCTATCCCTCCCCCTCCCCCCTTCTCCCTTCCCTACTTTCTTACCTGTACCACTTTCTGTCTTTTTTTCTGTCTTACCTGTACCACTTTCTGTCTTACCTGTACTGTCTTACCTGTTCTGTCTGGTGTACCACTTTCTGCCTCTTTGTAATTGTGGTGTCTGTGATAATGTTGCCAAACTTTACACGGTTTTACATGTTTTACGCCATTGCTAATCATTTCTTTTATAAATATATACTGTATGTATAAGAAGTTCTAGTGAAAACTCTTTTTGAATACTATGGCGAGGACCTCAAACGTGTCGCCATATAAAAAAATATATATATATTTTCCCTCTCCTTAACTAAATGTTGACATTGCCGCTATGTATAACTTTATACAAATAACCCATATCACTTATCCGTTTGTATAACTTTGATGTATTTTCATAATAAATTCAAAATGTTACGTGAATGTCTTTTCTTTTCCCCGGATGTTTATATATTAAAGGTATAAATCATGTAGCACACACACTCACACACGCAAACACACACACACACACACACACACACACACACACACACACACACACACACACACACACACACACACACAACCACACACACACACACACACAGATAGATAGAACTAGATAGAGAGAGAGATGGATAAATAAATAAATGCACACACAAACACACACATATATAGATAGATAGATAGATAGATAGATAGACAGAGATAAATAGATAGATAGATACATAAATAAATAAATGCACACACACACACACACACACACACACACACAACACACACACACACACACATGGCATATATATATATATATATATATATATATATGGTTGTGCATCGACTTACGACCGCATTTAGTTATAACAGACTGTCCCGAAGCCGATTTGGTCGTAATTCAACCTATGTTAAATTATTATGTTTTTGATGATTGATAATTAATAATAATAATAATAATAATAATAATAATAATAATAATAAAAATAATAATGATAATAATAACACTAATGAAAATAATAATGATGATGATGATAATAGTAATAATAACAATACAAAACAAACAATATACATGAGAGCAATAACAATAATAATAATGATTATCATTAGATGATTATGAAAATTAAAGCAATACCAACAGTAATACTAATAGAAATATTAATAGAACAACAATAATAACGATAGTAATAATAAAACACAATAATAAGGATAACAATAGCAATCATCAATATGAAAACAAAAATATTAATAGTGATAATAAAGATAGCGATAACAATATTATGATGATGATTATGATAATGGTAAAAAATACATATAATAATTACCATGATAACAACGAAAATGATAATGACAGTGATAATGATAACAATGCTATTGATAATGAATATAATGCCAATGCTAATAATGAGAATAAAAAAGATTATAATAACTATAATAATGATAATAAAAATAATAACAATGTAAGTGACAGCAAGAACTATAATGATAATTATTCTAATAACAATAACAATAATAGAAATAACAATAATGATAAAGGTGATGATTTTTTTCAATAATGATGATAATAATTCTAATGATAGTAATAATAACTAATAATTACAATAATATTAATGATAATGATGATAATAGTAATAGCAATGATGATAACAATAATATTTATCATTATCGTCATTATTACTATACTCATTATCATTATTACTGTTATTATCATTACTATCGTTATCACAGTACATTATAATTCTTATTATTTCAATTACCATTCTATTGTTACAACTATCATTAGGATCTTTATTTTTGTAATACTTTTTTATCGTTGTTATCGTTATCTTTATTGCCATTCTTGTTATCATTATTGTCATTCTTAGAAAAACTGCTCACATTTCGACCTAATACTTGCAAACATTGATAGACAGCAAAAGATAAGCTTTCTTAATTTCTCTCTTCTTGCGACCAGAAGAAAAGACTTCCATTGGCGGGTTAATTAAAAGTTTTCAGGGAAAGTGGGAAGCTTGGAAATTTATGAGAGGGAACGGCGCAGGAGAACGAAGGAGAGAGAGATAAAGAGTGAGAGAGAGGGATTGGAAGAGAGCGAGAGGAACAGGTACATGCACACGCGCGCACTCACAAACACACACATACACATATACATACGTACTCACACAAACACAAATACACACAACACAGTCACTGCTGTTCAAGTTGAAAAATGTCAGCAGTCTTACCAAGGAAGATTCCACTAGTCTGCGGGCGTGGACATCAGCGGAAGGGAAGACAATGCGCGCTGCTGACCAATCCATCTGATGGCTTGTGTCCCAGATGGCAGAAGAGGTCGTTGTTGTTGTTGTCCCCAGGATACAGCGTATTTATGTTGAGACAATGGCTTCGAAAGACTAGCGCCTGCTTCACCAAAATACTGCTTGTCATAAGAAGCTCACGGAACAGCATAGGTACCCACCTTCGAGGTAGAGGGAGGGTAGGTGTGAACCAGGTTGCGACGGAGAGTGTTCACCTGCGAAGGCGAGGTCTGCAGTTGAGAGGCTGCAGGGGCGAGGAGAGAGAGTAGATCTCAGTGTAGGGCAGGCTGAGGACTGGCAGGTGGGGGGTCTCTTTAAGAGAGGAGTCGTTGTAGAAGATACGCCGCGCCCTGGATAACGCGACGTCGAGAACATGGCGAGAGTAGCCCAGTTTGGAGAACGAACGACGTAGGAAATCGATCTCTCCATCCAGGTACTGCGGGCAACAGACGCGGAGAGCGCGGAGGAACAGTGAGTTGGCAACATCTTTCTTCACATGAAGTGGATGGCAAGAGAAGAAGTGTATGTACACACCACAATGCACGGGTTTCCTGTATGTTGAGAAGTAATCAGCAGAGCGATAAACTAGTGTCCAAGAAGGGGAACTTGTTGTCATTCTTCCATTCCACCTTGAAGCGGATGGAAGGAGAGAGAGAGAGAGTTCAGCTGCGACAGGGAATCAGGGAACAAGGCAGTTCATGAGGCCAAAGAGCAAACGCGTCGTCGACGTACCTCAGCCACACCGAAGGACGAAGGGGGATGGAAGGGAGAAGCTCCATGAACACGTTTGCCAGGACTGAGGAGAGAGGAGAGTCCATGACAACCCCGAACGTCCGAGAGTAGAAGCGCCCCTCAAGTGAAAAGGAATTCGACTCCACACACAGACGAATCAGCTGGAGGAGGACGTCGGTGAGCAGAGGGAGACGAGAATCCTCGGCAGGGAGCTCCTCTGAAGGAAAGCGGGGACCTCATCAAGCGGGACTTCGGTGAACAGGGAGTTGACATCCATGGTTGCCGGTAAGACACAACGGATATAATGTGTGAGTGTGTGTTTATGTGTATGTGTGTGTCTGCTTGTGTGTGTGCGTGT